TGAGACACTCTTATTCTGCAGCACGGTGTGATTGTAACGGATCAGAACCACGTAGCGGTCGAGAACCCCAGCCGCTTGGCGCCAGTACACCTGAAAGTATGACACAATATGATCACATAGTAATATTTAAAAATTTAAAGAATCAATCAATCAGCTTTATGACTCTCTGTTGGTTCTAGCTTTACTCTTATTTGTACGTTTGATAACTCCTTCACCCAAGTTAACTAAACCTAGTTATGGCTAGACCAGGTGCTCTAGTTCAAAGCTGATGGTGGGGTTCCTCAGGGCTTGGTACTTAGCTCATTTTTATTTTTAATACATATGTGCTCAGGCATGTTAGAGTAGTGCACATCATCAATGTTATGTAGATGACACCCACATCTATTACAGCTGTAATCCCGACACGAATAAAGTGTGCCACCTGTTTTGCAGACAACAGCCACTCCTGTTTTAGCTGTAACGGTTTGTGTAATGGTGCTAATTTGTTCTCAATTAAGCCACCTAGAAATATTTGTTTTGATGATTATTCAGCCTTAAAACAGATAAGCCCCACATTAATTTTGGCTGTGACTCTTTTGTTATGTAAGATTAAAGTGTCTTAAAAACATGAAACATTTAATTAAAAATATATAGTTTATACAGAAATCCCAACACATTATTTGAGGGTAATTTAAAGTAGTGAGAAATTTCCTTTTAATCTACTTTTGTGTCTTGTCAAAAAAATGACACTTTTGCGACTTAATTCCTCTTAACAAATCCATAATTTAGTCTCTCAGAGCCTGAAGTCGCAACACAGGTTCAGAAGTAAAATCGTTTTGGACTATCAAAAAAAAAAACCCCAAACATTCAAATATCCCCGAAAGTTGTCTTTTTCTGAGATGTAGACCACTTAGGTGATCATTTCACTAAGAGAGCTTTAAAAAAACAAATAAAACAAGTAAAAAACTGCAACAGTAACACCACATTAAATTAAATGTTATTCTTGTTACACAGATATACCTTGAGGAAGTTGTCTCTTCCAGAGTGAACAGCTATTGGATTTTGCACAGTGGCTGGTTCTGCAAAATGGAACAAAAGACAAAGCAACAGAGATGTTTTAACTTAAGTACAAACAAAACTGGTAGATGGTAAAATAAACATAAACTCAGACAAATATAAGACTTTAAAAGGACTGGATTCTTACGTGTTCGAGCTAGGACGGTGGCGGAAGTCTCCAGGTCGCCACTCCTTGTTTTTATGACCACCGAGTAAAGCCGGCCAGCCTCCAGCGACCTGAATGAGCACTCAGGTGGTGAGGAGTGGGACACAACAAATTTATGTTTAGAAATTCCCTTCCTCTCCTCAAGGCAGACCAGGTAGCTGTCCACGACTCCTGACACAGGACGCCACGACACCTGCAGAGCATCAGACTTGCCGCCATTTGAAACAGTTATCTCAGACACAGGCTCCGGGGCTGAAAATAAAAATATAATTGTATCGTTTTTACTACAGTGTTAAATATTTGTAATATAGAGAATGAAATGAATGTATCTCTTTAAAAAAAAGTGCATAAATTGTAAATTCAAAAAAACATAAATAACCTTTATCCCCTTTGTTTCTCAAACTTTTCTTAAAAACAAACAATGAAAATTGCGTATGCCATTGCAGATACAGCAATGATGCCACTTACTGACCAATAGAAGGTTATTTGAGGGGATTGAGGGTGGAGTCAGGTTTTGTTTCTCTACAGTCTAAATACTGATTCGTTAGCAGGAGAACAATACAGACATTCACATCCAGAGGATTCTGAAAGTATCTGGAACATTCTATGGGAACACAGTACAGTAAGTGCTCTGAACAGGAAGTGTGTGTTTGCTTGTATAAGTGTTTATGTGAGATGTAATATGAGTCTTAGACTTTCTGAGGACATTTAAAAGACCAAATAATGCCAAATTTTGTCTTCACATTTAAACAGACCTTTAAAGGGTCACTGCTGAGTCCAGACTTAGTTATGGCTCAGATTGAATTTTAGGTTTTGGTAGAAGGTAATGGTCCCAAGAAAGCGACAAGTCTATTGCTATAGTGCCCATGAAGACAGGTAAACAAGTGTGTGTGTGTGTATGTGTGTGTGTGTGTGCGTGCGTGTGTGTGTACAGGAAGCCTTTGACCATTAGGAGCATTTTGGTTTGTGTGGAACATTCCAAACGTTCTTTTTAGTGTTTCAGCCATTGTTCTAGAAACCACCTGATGTTGTCACATAACATATTTTTACTTACCACTTTACCTAACTTTAACCACCACAACCTGAAACCACACCAGGTGGTAACCAACTTCTCAAAAAAATAATGTCTGACAAGTCATCAACATGTCATGCTTTCAAAAAACAAACAAGAAAAAACCCAAAACATTTACATGTTTTGTTTTGGGTTTTTAAGCAGTTATTTTACAACATTATTCATCTGAAGAGAAGTAAGGAAAAAAATTTTTGTGTTGAAATCATACTCTTTCTTTTGACTAAACTCTAATATTTCCAGCGAGCCTGATTTTACAGCGGTCCACAAAGTCGACTCAGGAGATTTTTTAGTTACTGTAAACTGTCTGCTGACATTCCTGTTCAGACTGTTTGGTTGAGAGGGTCACTGAGTTTTTCCTGTTCACAGACGCCGAATCTGTTCACCACAAGGGAACACACAGTAATATTGTCTCTACACAATAAGATCCCAGCAATCAAACGGTGTTACATAAGCTGTCGTGCGTTTGCATGTTTGTGTGTTGTAAACATTTCACAGTTTCTCTGGCTTCCTGAACAGTAACAGTTACTGTAAACTGGAGCTTTTTTGTTAACATGATTTTTCCCCCTCTGAAAACAGAATAAAAAATGAGTGTAAATAAATATTGAATTCCAAACAATGTCACATTCACGTGTGCAGAGGGAGTACAAACACAGCTGTGCCCTCAGGTTCATTATTTAAATACAAGCACTGATTTTTTTTTCTTTTTCAGCCACTCTGTTGGCGATTTGCTTCTTTGTATTGGCTTGTTATCCTATTTCACGACCCAAGCTTTAGCTTTAGAAAAGGTCATCTAGCATTTGATTTTAGAAAAAATGTTCAAAATAGGACATGTGGAGGGTTGGTGTGACAGAGGAGGATATCAGGGATTTATTGAGATGAGGGTTAGGGTTGGGGTTAGGCAGATGATCTGCTGTGGTGACCCCTAAAGTGAGCAGCTGGAAGATGAAGAAGAATGATGGACTATTCCAGATGGGCAAAACATCATCCTTTATAGAGGTGCTTGCACTTACTGATGATTAATCAATCAAGTAAAATTGATTAGCTGCTACTTACCCAGTTAATTTCTGTGGAAGTAGGGAGTTTTGACCTTATTTTTCACATGATTTTTATTTTTAGTTTCTATATGTATTTTTTTTTTTTATGATGTGAAATTATTAGAAAGGAGAGACCTCTTAACATAACCCATTAACAAGAAATACATTTTCATCATAGACTGCAGAGATATAAAGGTTTAATAAAATGTCACCTGTGCGTGCCTCCAGACTGATGGGTTTAGACTGTAGCCTCCCACTGACAGTGACAGCCTGCAGCCTGTAGAGGGTGCCAGGTGTCAAACCAGCCAGCAGCAAGAAGAAGAGCTAACTGAAACGCTGTAGTTCTGAACCACAACACTAAAAAGGAAAATACATGTTAATATTCACACTGACATGAATAAAGTTAAAGCAGAGTGGATAAATGTTATAACGAGGGACTTTAAAGCAGCTGTAGATGTTGCTGGCTACACATACTGCATGATTGCAGTTTGACTTCTATCTGTTTTAAGACGTGGGCTGAAAGATGAATGATCTCAGACTCGTGTAATGCTGTAGATTTTACAAGTGTTTTAAATACCCTGATCAAACAGAAGTTACTGTAATAGTTTCCTTATAGACACACCTATCCTGTAGCAATGTCAACATGTACAAGTCTACATCTCCTGGTGGTTTTGTCCATGAGGCCTTCAAGATTGTTGACGCCCATGTTTCTCAGAGTGAAGGCATGCAATTCCATGGGAACTGAAGACAAAAAAAAACACATGAGAAATTAAAGTAAATGAACATCTTCCCAAAATACTTAAAATTCCTTAAGCCATTCAATAACACTTATTCAGCATTCAGTTTTTTAACTTTTACTGTTCTATGCTATTATGTATGGTGTATTATATATCCATATACATATATACATATATACATATATACATATACATATATATATATATATATATATATATATATAATATATATATATATATATATAAATATATATATATATATATATATATATATATTATACATATATATATACATATACATATATATATATACATATACTACATATATATACATATAATATATATACATATATATACATATACTAATATATACATATACATATACATACACATATATCAATATATACACATATATACATATACATATAATACATATATATATATATATATATATATATATATATATATACACATTATTATACATATACATATACATATACATACATATACATATATATATACATAAATATAATATATATATATATATATACATATATATAATATACATACTATATATATATACATATAATATATATATATATACATACACATATATATACATATATATATATATATATACATATACATATACATATATGTATACATATATATACACACATACACACACACATATACATATATGTATACATATATAATATTTAAAATTACATTCTGATATTTTGAACAATATCATAATCTTTTCTGACACTGTACGTCATGTTCAGTTATCTGAGAAAAACGTTCCACATTTTTACATGCCAAAATAAAATCAGTTGAACTGGTGTTCTTTCCTACGGTACTTCGTGGGGACCTGCAGTTTTACTACCACCAACACACGGGCAGTATAAAACACACACCTGTTCTCCCTCCACAGAACAGAGGTGTTCAGTTTTCCACTTCTGGTTGTCACGGTAATGGTGTACAGTCTACCAGGTGTGAGGACATTGAAGGTGCACTCCCTCATATTTGGCTCCACTGTCCTGGTAGCCTCTGTGTTGTTACCTAGGAGACAGCAGAAGTATAATGAAGAAAAATCACCTTTTTCTAACATTTAAGAGTCAACTTTTGAAAATAGCAATGCTGATTTCAGAGAGTTTACAAAAAAGAAAAAGACTGGTAGGCTGTACTGTTATTACCATGGTAAAGGGTGAGGAAGTAGCTGTCACGTAACCCAAGGGGAGTGGCTCCACATAGCACTGAGTGAGGTCTGATCAGAGTGCCGATGTGGAGATCCAATACCGGAGCAGGAGCTGCAGAGACAGATGGAAAAGCAGCAAGTTTTACTGCAAGTTGTTATTCTGGCACACCAGTACAGGAGCCAGTTCAACCCTTACTTTGAAGTGGTCAGATTAGTCAGTACGACAGGTCAAAGCTGAACTTCACAAGTATGATATGTACTATCCTATGTATTTGTGCTGATATATTTCTGACCTGTTGATCCCTCACAGCTACTCTCAGCTGTCAGTCCTCCACTCTCCACTCTCAACACAACTCTGTACACCCTCCCTGGTGTTAGTCCTGCACTGGGGATGCTGAAGTTCACTGCCTCCTGGTCCAGAGATGTGCTGACTACCTGTTGAGAGCCATCAAATAGGAACAGCCTGTAGTTCTCCCAGTGACCAGCTGGAGGCGACCAAGCCAGGAAGAGGCACCAGAGGCAGAGGGAGACAAGGTGAGGAGGGATGCTGGAGCTGGAGCTGGAGACAAGAAGATGCCAGGGTGAGGGAAAGGGGGGAAACAAAAAATAAAATAAAATAAAATAAAGGGCAGCTTCATTTCATCATCTCACCTGTCCTGACAGTGATTTCTGATTGGTTTGTCAGTCTGCCACTCCTAGAAGTCACTGTAAGCTGATAGGCTGAGCCAGGAGTCAGCTGATGGATGGTGACTTCTGTGACGTTCCCAGGCAGGGTGGTCTCCCAGAGCCTCGTGCCATTGTATGTGAGCGTGACGATGAGAGCGTCCAGGTCACCTTTAGGCTTTTGCCACGACAACAGCAAGGTGGTGCTATTCTCGTAGTTAGTGGTGAGGTTGAAAACAGCAGAAGGCACTAAAGAGAAAGAGACTCAAATGTAACATTTACCTTTTTTCCATTTTACTTTGCTGTCTTCCTGATTTGTTTCCTTTACTGTTCACTCTCTCACCTTCCTTGTTTCTGTTTTTCTGACTGTCCTTGTTTTTTTTTCCTTTTTCTTTCTACTGCCTAAATTTTGTTTAATTCCTTCATTTTATTTCTTTTTCTCTCTTGCTTTTTGTTGTTTCGCTTTTTCTGCTTTCACTCCTTTCTGTCTTGTTTCCTTGTTTTATTCTTGCTTTCCTTTCCTTTTTGCCTTTCCATCTTTTTTATCCCTTCATTCATTCACTCATTTACCTCTTTCCTCCTGTCATTACTTTTCCCCCTCTTGCTCTCCTCCTCACCTGTCTGAGCCTCGATGGTCCGGCTGTTTTGCAGCTTGCCGCCCTCTGTCACCACAGTAATGTTGTACAGTCGACCTGGCACCAGGCCGTTTAGTGTGTGTCGTGTTGTTGTGCTCCCTAAAGTCTCGTTCTTCAGCAGACCTGCAGACATGACAGTGGAGAAGAAGTTGAGAGGCTGAAAGCTTCAGACTGCTTGAAACAATCAGCTAAAAACTTTTTTTTTTCTGTTCTTCAATCTGAAAGAACCTGAAATGTAAACTCACTCATGGTGCCTTAATTTAAACTGTGAATCATGCAGAGCTACTCTGGTAGAGTCCAGGATTAAAAGTATGGAAACGCTGAGAGTGGATGATTGCATCAGGGCTGTTTCTTTTGAGGACATGGATGATCATAAGCAGTTAGAAACATCACAGACGTACCGGACTGATCTGGACTCTCAGACTGTTCCCACAACTGAAGCCTGAAGCGCTGCGTCCTGCGTTTCCGGCCTGCCAGGAAAGGCTTAGACTGCTGCAGGTCCTGGATGTCACCGCCAGGCCAATCACTGCCGAGGGCTCTGAGACAAGAGCAAATTAAACATTAAACTAAATAATTCAATTTACAGCCCGCTTTAACCTTTTGCCTTGCATGCTTATTTCATTTAATCATTTGTACCTGTTCCAGCTTTTGTAAGATTAAGTGCAAAGACTTGCAAGCGTTTAAATGCCCATTTAGGCTGGCTGTTCTGATTTTTGTTGTTTACTCCCACCAACCCCTGTCGTTTTGTTTTTTTGTTTTTAAAGAAAAGCTAATTGCGGAAACTTTAACTGTTTATTTGTGGAGATTGTGATGACTGTATTTGACCTCAGACTGGAGTGGCTGGTGACACAAGAGTACTTTTTTAACAACCCTGTGAGGCTGCAGAGAGGCGATGTGGGAGAAATTCAAACAGGCATGTGTGTGGTGTGTGTGTGTGGTGTGTGTGTGTGTGGTGTGTGTGTGTGTGTGTGTGTGTGTGTGTGTGTGTGTGTGTTGTGTCAGCAGGCCTCCCACGATGTTCAGACTTTGATGACAAGGCCACAGATGGATGCGATGGATCCTTTTCCTGCTGAAACCTCCCTGCAGTCCGACTGACCTTCATGTTCAAAATATATAATTACCTTAAGGAACAGTCCCACTGTTTCAGACAACATGGAGCTCTACCATGTTCGAGCTCAACACATCCTTTGGTTAGATGACAACCACAACATCAGTGGACACAAACACAATGCTGTAACGCAGCACATGTGAACATGGTGCAGCTCGAGGCCGTTTAGGATCCACAGTTATTTCTTTGTTCTTTGTTTAAGCTTTTCTGACCCACAAAGCTACGACTGGTCTGAAGAATTTAGGACTGGTTCTGTACGTGCAGCCAGTCGCAGCCTCTTCCTAAAACTGCTGTGAAGAAATGCCACCATGCTAATGGTTAAAGGCTACAAAGAAGTAAGACATGGCATCAACATAGACCTTCACTGTGAAATGATTAGAAGTATCTTTACTCTGTAACTGGCAGACATACATGAACACTTTAAGAACTCTCTCATAACCTGAACCCAACATTAAATATTTAAGTTTTTCCTCTGTTGCCAACCAACTCTCTGAAATAAGCCCAGGAAACCTCGACACCACCCATAGTTCAGAGCAGAGAGCTTGTATTTGTTTCCAATAGCCTGAACATGATTTATGAAATTTGACCATTTTCTGTTACTATATGGGATAAAATCAATGTCAGAAAATGATAACTGTTGCTTTTTTTATAGAAACTGTTAGCATTCATACATCTGCTGCTTAAGTCTGAAGTCAATCGTTTTCAGGTTCACATTCTCAAATCAAATAAACACAGAGTTAAAATTGTTTCAGCTCCAATAAAATCATCAGTGTGTCTTCTCTCCAGGAGCTATAATAAGGTGTGATGTTCAAACTTCTATGACAAGCAGGACTGATGAGGTTTTAGTTTTAGAAACATCTATGAGGTCTTATCTTAAAGACCTCTTAGTACTTTTCTTCTGTCTTCCTCCCTTACACCCAGCCAGCCGCAGCAGATGGCCACCCCTCCCTGAGCTGGTTCTGCTGGAGGTTTCTTCCTATTGAAAGGGGGTTTTTCCTTCCCACTATCACCAAGTGCTTGAGCATAGTTTGATGGTCGGGGTTTTCCCTGTTTTATTGTAGAATCTTACAATATAAAGCACCTTGGCAAAACCGCTGTTATGACTTGGTGGTATATAAATAAAACTTAACTGAACCAAGTTAGAAATTAGCTACTTAGTTTTTATCTGGAGAGGATATACCATGTTCTGACTTTCTTTCTAAAAAGTCTTAAATGTAGAGTACTGCTATAACTTTGCCATAAATTTGGACAAAAATAAAGATGAAAACTAAATAGTGATGTTTGGAAGGTCAGTATAGTTGTGCTAGTTTATATAATGATTTGATATGTTTTAGCCTACCTCGTGACTAGCTACAGATCTAAGACTAATATAAAAACACTTGCACAAGGAATATGGAGGATGGGCGTTAAACTGTTCTCAATAATAGTTAATGTTGAGGACAAACAGACAAACGTCTTCATGTGACAGGAAGAAGATCCCAAAAACAGACCAAACTTCAGACCACGGTGTCTGACATGATCCTTCACGCAACAACTTAGTTAAATATAAAACTAAAGTCGGGATTAAGAAAGCTTGAATAATCTAGTAAGCTACAGGTGGATGGTTCTGTATCTAAAGATATCTTCAAATATCTTCAAAACTAAGTTTCTATTATTCTTTGGAGACGTGAGACAGTTGCCTGGTTCATAGTTAGATTTTTCAACAAACTAACCAACCAACCAAGCTGGCAACCAAATAAATACATGTGATGTAAAAATATTTGACCAGTCCACTAAAGGTCAGTGGATGTAACAGTCGGCATGCCACAGAAGATAAGAAATCACAAACGCCACAGTAGAAGTGTTTTGCATTTCTGAGAAGGTTACTGTCGGGACTCGATTGGGTGCAGCAACACCCAGTTTTCCCCCAAACTCAACACACACATGAACACAAACACACACTTATACACACCTTCACACCTTTCCCAGTGCTTCCCACAGAACAAAGAAACAATGGAGGCAGGAAATGGCTGAACCCTGAGCTCTGCCCACGATGGAAATACACACTGAGGGTCCAACTTCTGTTCTGGACTCCGCCAGTGTAGAGACACAACACCACACATGCATTTACTTTAACAGCTCTATCACTCTCTCTCAGCAGGGCAGGGGTTCCTGTAGCTAATCACAGAGCTGCAGAGAGGGGAAGCTGCATGACATTAACTCTGAGGTACACAAAGACATGGAGGTCGAGTCCTGTTGGTTCACTTCAAACGCGAGAGGGCAGAGGAGATGGAAACAATGCAATGAAACAGAAAACAATAGAGTATTAGCTCCACTATAGTGAATGGGGTTTAAGTCTGTGAACTGGTGCAG